CAGGGGGCATTTTAACTCACAGTCACAGGTTTGTACAGCAGCTAATCACTGCTGACCATCTCCCCATCATTGTATGTCCTGGCACAACTGGGGATCCTTCTAATATGTGTTTGGAAGTATCCAGTAACACGTGAAGCCTCCAACACGTGAAACAAACTGGGAAAGGGATGTCATATCAGCTGTGACTGGGTGCTGCTTATGAGGTTTTTGTTTTCAAGGAGACTTCAGCAAAACATAAATGAAGTTTTTGAAAGATGAAAATCATTACCATGGTTTCTGTGGGTCTTGACACTAGCAATGTTTTTATGTCAGAGAAAAGCCATTAGAAAAAAGAAACTAGGTTCTGTTTGACATCTATTACCAAGGCTCTAGTGGCTGCTTTCTCTTTATTTCATGGTGTATATTAATGTGATATTCTGTGCGTTACTGAAGTTTTCTCAATTTGTGCATGTGTATTTTCCAGGTAGAAAAATAACTAGTTTTTTTCGACAGAAAAAAACTTATAAAGACTTATGTTTTATTGTTTCATTTGTGTAATTAGTTTTTAATTTTATCTGACTTTAAAGCGTCTTTGGATACACAGCGTCAGCAGGCTCCCTTCACCTCCTCCTTCTGCACATGTACAAGTAACTGAATAATAGCCACACTCATGCGTTTCAGTGGTTAATGTGGTAATCAGTTATGAGCTTTTTTATACCACGTTTTAATCAAATATTTAAAGAAAAAAGAACCTGCTAATTTAATATGAAGTTTGCTCAGAGAGAGAGAGTTTTATAGAACATTATTTCCTACATTTTTCCCCTTTTATTGAGTGATTACAAAACAAGTGAAGACAAGTGTAACAATAGTGAGAGAGATTGGAGCAAACATCACAAGATACAACAAACATGCAAGAGAAAAGAAATAAATAAATAAAGAAGAAGAGAGACAAAAAGGAATAATGATAATAATTGCAGAGGGGATCTAGTAGAAAAGGAGAAGAACTGTCAACTCAGTGCTTTTTGCATAATCCTGCTGACTGACTGACTGACTGACTGACTGACTGACTGACTGACTGACTGACTGACTAACACGGGTGAAAAACACAATCTCCATGGCAGTGGTAATTAGCTAATGCTAATAGCTCACTAAGTAAATAGCTACCTACTAACTGCTGCTAACACCATGCTACAGTCACTGTACTTGGTGCTACATAGTCAAGTTTTATTCTTTGTCATATTCATATTTTTCTGCCCCCTACTTTAAAATTAAACTTATTTGTTGTTGACCAGTTCTTTGGTAAATGAAATGGTGCAAACACAAAAACAAAACAGGTTTTCAAGGCAGAGGCAGAGCTGGTAGATCTGCAGCTTTGTCTGTCGTGTTTTTTCAATCTTGTCCTGAAAATTAGCTCGGTGTAACAGAATCCCAATATTTTGACTCAACCACTGATTCAGGAAACACTGCAGTAGGGAGCTCTGAATTGGTCCTTGGAAACCTTGACAATGGACCATGGACAGCCTGCACGTTTCTCCACAGCTCAGGAAGGATTAGTGTTTGGAAGCAATTGCTATTAGTCGGCTGCACAATTCAAAGAGGCCCAAGGCTTTTTCCTCGTGAGGAGACATGCAATTGCAAGAACTATAGAATATCTTGTATGTCTGAAATATAAGCACACTGACACACATTAAGCTTCTTTCTAGCTCAGAGGTGAGAGCAACCTTTCAACGGGTGTACTGTACACGCAGGGATTCAGATCATGTTGGCAACGCATGAATATTACAATAATCTTCAAGACAATTTACTGTTCATTCAGCTGATGAAAGATTTTTGAGGTGCGGAGCAAACTTTGACAGGTGAAATGCACCATACAGACCCACACTGAGCACAAGTGCACGTCTTCTGACAGATTTTGAAACAAAAAGCTTTTTAAAGCCGCGTTATTGAGCACTCAGTCAAGTTGCTCATGTTCAAATTTCCTTGTCTTTTCACTCCACAGCGCTTGATCCAGTAATAATTGTCAGTCACCGGTGTGTCTGTGGCTCTAAATGAAAGAGTGGAGGATTTTAAAAACTACTGTTTACAACTTTCTGATTCATTTCTTTCACTGCCTCATAATCGCACGGTCTCTTGCTTTAGGGTTCTTCTCTGCGGGATACACACACACACACACACACACACACACACACACACACACACACACACAGGACCTAAGCCACAGCCTTGTCTCCCTCTGCGAGTGTGTGCAGAGATGAGCAGGACCGCACCTTCTGTGAGCGCTACCTGAAACTGGAGATGCAGGGGTACCAGTGAAGGGTTAGCTTTCATTGTCTTTGTCCTTTTTTTTTTTTTTTGTTGCCCCTCCTGCTTCTTTTAAACATAGACTAGTACAGGGCGTTAAAATATTACCATACAATGCTCTGGTATTTGATGTTTTTACGTAATCCCAGCCACTGAAACCAGGTACTTATAGTCAAGCAGGGTTCAGGAGATGAAAGACCTAAAACACGTAGCGCTGGATGCTCTGAATTTCCTGCCTCCGTTTCTACACAAAGTTTGTGTGTTTTCTGTGTGACTTGTGGAATTAAGCTGCCTGCTATTCAAGCTCTGAGGACATTTTTTTAGTGCTTGCTTTGGGGGAAGGAAACTATTCTATTTTTTTATTTTCTATTGGCTGAAGATAAATACTCTCACAACAGGTATGTATTTTTTTTTTTAAAGTTAATTTTGCTTGTTTATTTTCTTTATTTAACCATCATGATCATTTCAAACATGAACCTGTGACAAATCAACGGGCAGTAAAAATCTTTTCTCTGTCACTGAAGTTGTTTTCTCTGTAACTGCATTTATCACGATGTGAAACAGTTGATCCTCTGAGACAGAGGTGAATTAAGATGTTCATGTTGTACAGCATTAAGATTATTTATCACAAATGTGCCTGTTATACGAATTATTGCTTTAACTTCTCTCCGTTATTCTTCAAGGACATTTCCACATATTCAAGACACCAATATTTTTCTGTTATATTTTGTCACATTTCACAAACAAAAATGGCAACAAAAAAAAAGATATTACTCATAAAAAGCTATGGTCAGTCACAGATGCTGGCAAATGTATTGATTCTCTGTTTAAAAGTCTCTCCATTAAAGGGCCTGTCAGTGTTATTCTGTGGTTTATCTCAGACATTAAGGGGTATTTTTGTGGGGCCGAGATCTTTCAGCTATTTCTCAGCACAGGGAAGTGAGAAGGGAGGGGAAGCAGAGCCGACACAAAAGGCAACATTATTCCCCAGCGGATCTGCGCTACATCCTACTATGAATGGAGTATTGAAAAACATAACATTGGGGACTAGATTATTTTTCATCCCTCATAACTGAGCCATTTGTCCCAGAGTTTCGAGTGGTTTGTTGGTACGGTCTGCAAATGAGACAGCCTTGGTTCTTGAGCTCGTGCTGGTGTTAAAATCCCCACCTCCCAATTGGACGCACAATGGCTTGTCTGTGGGCCTGTGGCCTTCTGCGCTGCACCTCCAGAGACAAAGCAACAGCACAGTGAAAATGGACCCAGCTGTCTGTGCTGGCTGGTGTTTAGTGCTGTTGTGGCACTACTGTCTCATAATGTACCGCAGAGGATGAGCGACAGTGTGTTAAACTTACCTCAACAAGCTGAAGATGATTGTATGTACACTCCACAGTGGCTCAGGATTTTAACCCCCACCCCCCCCACCCCCCCTCTCCTCCTGCCTCCTGCTCTCCAAGGAGACGAGAGGCGCCCCTGCGGTGTCATCAGGTGCCTAAGCGTTTTGGAGGGTTCTAGTGACAGATTGCAGGAAGCAGCGTTTATGCCTGACGATGGGGACCACAGAAAGCAGAAATGTCTTTTTGTGCCCCCTGGGCCCGGAATGTCCACTATCTCGAGGGGCCAATATCAAATTCTCCTCTCATCATCCCCTAATACACATTCCTGTGTAAGGTCAGGGGGAATTTTGCATGAGCGCAAAGAGACAAACAACCCAAGGCCGAACCACACACTGTGTGTCTCTTCACAACAACGTGCTTTAACAACACTCCTCAACTCATTTCTGGGACGCTCGCACAAAAAGAATATGTGAAATTGGGAATTCAGTCATTCCAGTGTCCAGTGAAATATTAAAACACACTCTATTGCTTTTTCTTTTTAAAGTACATCCTCATTACAGCATATTTTAACATTTTCTTATATTTTTCTTAGTCTGAATGCACTCGGAGTGTAAGTAAAGTGTGTAAAGTAAGTAAATGTCATTGATCCCAGTGTCTCTGTTGTGAGGAATGAAGGGTATTCAGCATCTGTCACTTTACTATCTAACGCTGATTATTGAGTGATCGTCCGTGAATCCCAATATTCTCTGTCTGAAGGAAAATCCCCTCGAAAACCACCAAACAGGTGCCTCCCTCTGTCTGTAACACAAGCCTTCCTCGGCTCTAGATGATGCTGGTAAGCTCGGACACACCGACCGTTTTCGGCGGCAACAGACTTCACCCCGATTCTCTCGTTTTAGCCTCTGTCACCTGCTGCCAGGTCGGTGCACGGCAGCCATTTTGTGCTTACCAAACAGTGAGGTAACTTGACTCCCCGTTCAAGGTGTTTTATTGGCAACAGCAGAACTAGTTGGTGGCACAGTCTTACGGAAAAAACCAGGGCTCCCGGTTTGCTCCAAGAAGTGTTTGTATGCCACGAGAACTTCCTCAAAGCTCTTTGGAGCGATGCACGTCACATGATCTGAGCTACACATTTCCCAAAGCCTGACCCCAGACTACCATCAATACCTACTACAGCACAATAACAATAGCTGCAGGCTCCATCACAGAAAACAATCCAATACTATAATTAGGCTACTCTGAAGCAGGACAAAAATAGTGATTGCTTTTGTAGTAGTAGATAAGTGTCTACTACCCTCTTGTCTACTACATTTACAAGTGTGTTCACATACAGCTAAGGGTTTTGAGAGAATGAGATTGTGTGGATGTGTGTGTTGCAGGCGGATGGTCAGTCAGGCAGCCATGCGAGGCCAGCGTGTGGGGGAGAGCGAGTGTCGGTGCTGGAACCCGGCCGTCTGGCTCCTGGTGTCCCTGCTGGGATCCATAGTGTTGGTGGCCGTCAGCGTGCTGCTGCGACTCGGTGAGTGTGTGCGGGTCGGAGGTGGGTGGGTTTGGTAGCTGGGGGGTGGGGTGCCATGTTGGATTTGTCCAAATTCTACAACGGGTCAAGGCCGCTCCATCCAAGCTGCCTGACTGTAGGAGTTCACCTTCCTCTTTACACAATACCGTATGTGATTAGGAAAGAGGTGAATCTTTAAATCATATTTTTCTCAATTCATCTTGTGGTGCAATATCAATCTAAAAAGGAACAATATGAAATGTATATGGAAAGTAATAGGCCTTAAAAGTTTGGTGCACTTGTCTGAAGTTCTCAGTGACACACCGCTTTTTAAAGTATATCATTTCTTGAAGGGGTAATTTTTCATACACTGGCTCAGGACCAGAGGTTGATTGTATGCAGATTGAAACTGATTCTCAAGCTTTATCAAAAGCTATTATCTGCTCTGCTACTGTAACATTCAACAAACTCCTATGTCCTTGTTTTTGAGCTCTTAAAAATGGTTCTTAGGGACTTTTTTAAAACTACATTTACTTTGAGAAGCAGCATATTTTAAAAGCCGGTTTCAAAGGAAAAGGTTACGCCTGACTGTGACACATGAGATGATTTCTTGTGTGTCAGTGCTTGACCACACGTTTGAGGCGTTAATAATGCTCAAGAACCGGGTGTACCTGCAAGCGAAGTCCCTGTAGATGAGTGCTTTTGTGTCCACAGTTACTGTCTGCCCTGTGTTTACCAGTGGTGGCTGGCTAAAAGCCCTGCAGTTACTTTGAAGGGAGCCAGGATCAATTCCACTCACTGGACGTTATGGATCAGCAAATATATAGAGAGCAATTTATTCAAATGTGCTGACACCAGCTTATTGGTTTGGTCTCTTCACAGAGCCAGCAGCTATTCAAATATGTGCCTTACTAACATTTTGTGTATTCTTATTTCAGGAGATGTGAAAATAAACAGACGGGCTGTATCCAGTAAGTGATATTTAGTATCTACGTCTTTTCTCCTTAGGAGTAGGAACTGTGTCTTCCCAGAATATAAACCTGCACGTGACACTGTAAACGGGTCTTAATACAAGCCCCTGAGGTTAACATAGGAAGTCGTATGTATCTACTGTACATGTTTCAGTGCTACAAACAAATGGGAGAGGCCTGTGAAGTGACCCACATTGGGTGTGATGGTTGAAAAAGTCCCTCTGGTGTCTTTGTAAGTTGTTGAAACCTGAGATATTAGTCTCCAGGTGTCAGAACGTCCTCTATACAGAAACATCCTCCGGTCTGACTCACGGGAAAATATGTGTTATGTTGAAACACTCACACCTGAGAAATGTATACGACACACAGGTGACAGCACAGACCTACATGGACGCTCCATGGTGTGCATGAAATATATCTGTTGTTTGGAATGACAGAAAGGAATTCCCTTCGGACTGGGAATGTCATGTTAGTTTTGCAGGTTATTTGTAATAAGTATTGAAATTTTGACCTGATGAGCTGCAGGAGAAGTCAGGAAACGGTACAATTCATTCTGGTGGGGAACATGAACGTCAGCATCAGTTTTCATCCATCCATTAAACTACAAATCAACCTTATGGTGGTGCTTGATGAAAAGCCAGATTTAATATGATTCATTCTCTGAGGACTATGAATGTATAAAATTGACTGTCAATCCGTCCAATAATTGTTGCTAGCATGGCTGAAAACCCAAATTAAAGGGACGAGCTAACACATCACTGCTGTAGCTGGTGCAGTACGTGGTCTGAACAGGCCTCCTGTTGTGGTTTCAGTCTGTGTCTAGTGTTACAGGAAAATAGATATAGTAGATATAGAGTACAGTAACTATGGAAGGCCAAGAACCTCCTTTCAACAAATAATTTGGCCATACTCTCTCTCTCTCCCTCTCTCTTTCGTATCTCCTCCTCCCTCTCGTTTCAGCCAATGGCGTGCAAACCTCCGTGAAGACGCAGTATCAAGGTAAGAATGAGCAGTACAGCCACCTCCACCTGCCCAGACACTCCTGTTCAGTTAAGAAACTTGTCTGCATCCAGGTCACACCATAGAAACCTATCAGAGGCTTGCTGTGTGTCAGTGAAAGAGAGGAGGAAGGTAGATCAGTGCCTGGGGGCTCTTTAAACAAGGTCACTTTCCCAGCTCTCCATTTCCCTAATCCCCACTTATTTGCTATGTATCCTCCCACCCTCCTGCATCCACCTCACTCTCGTCCAAGGAGTCATGTGGCCTATTGTGTGCCTTAACTCGGTAGGATTAGACCTGTTCCAGAGGGATTTTTTTTTTCTTGCTATTAACTATCATTACATTAGAGCACGCTGGTCTGTCTTATCGTCTCATTTCTTTTTCAAATAGAAGCACGTGTCGTTGAAATGTGCCACAGACATTGGAGCTTTTATGAGCCTGATTTTTCAGCGAGGTGGCACAATCACAACCGAACAACCTGAAGCTCCTCACCTCACTCAGAGACAGAGACTGCAGATGTGTGGAGCGAAAAGAGTCTGAGAGAGAGAGAAGCCCTCACAGATACTGTCTGCTTGTGTCTCCAAAGTACAACTGGTGAATGGACGCAACAGGTGCGAGGGCAGGGTGGAGGTGCGCTTCAATGACTCGTGGGGCACGGTGTGTGACGACGACTGGGACATGGTGGACGCCAACGTGGTGTGTCAGCAGCTGGGCTGCGGAGTGGCTGTGGCGGTGGGCAGCAGCTCTCAGTTCGGACAAGGCGCCGGGCTCATACTGCTGGATAATGTGGACTGCAGAGGAAGTGAAACAGACCTCAGCCAGTGCAGGAGTCTGGGCTGGGGCGTCCACAACTGTTACCACTACGAGGATGTGGGTGTCACCTGCAGAGGTAAGGCCTTTATACAACTGTAAGTTTGCTGCAGGTAGTGGTGAATTTTTTTTTTTTCCACTTCACTTCAGTTCCTGTTTCCATTTATGTTTTGCTGCCAGAACCAGCAGTGGTGGGGCCAAAAGGTTTTGAGGATCTCACCACACCCCCCCAGGGGAACACTGGTTTACGTAAGTGCCCCCTGCTTTTATCTAAATAGCACTGGTCTTCTGCCAACTTGAGATGTCAGAAGAGATGAATTTGAAAAGGCGTATGGCCAAAATCCAGAAACAAATAAGGTAATATTGAGATAATAAAATTGGGACTATGTGAAAATTAATACTTATGTAAACAAAATGTGTTTAATTACATTGTGAGGCAGTGAAACAGCATAAACTTGTCACTTTGACTATTGAAATTCCCTTGTGTCTACATTTGAAGCTGCACTAATCAGTATTTTTAAACAGGCAGCTGTTTTCACTGACGGCTGCTCAGAACCAAACAGCAGATAAAGTTAGCGACAAGCTGCTGAACGTGGCTGTTAAAGATCCAGATGTTTCCCTCATGAGTTAGAGGAGGAACTAAATCTACAGTGAATATCAGACGTCATTCATCAAGTGGCCAGAAACACACTGAATGCTCACAGGCGACTGTTTGCTAACATGTTAGCCATATTACCTTAAGGTGATAGTACTGTATAGCAGTGCTTCTTTTTTTATGTCCACTGCCTCAAGTGGCCAAACAAATCTGTAATTGAAAGTCTATGCATGTGACCCAGCTTCAAAACAAAACCACGAACCACACCTGTGTGCGTCACTCATCTTCACTCAACACAAGTGATGACATTACTGGAGTCAAGGGTTAAGGACACACTGTCTTTCTGCTACATAAGTAGATCAGAGTGTTATTCATGTGCACATCTCAAACTAAACAATGCTGACAGAGCTTCTTGACTGCAGAGGAAGATATGTTGTATATTCAGAGGGATTCAACTTTGGACCAGTTTTCCTGTGTTTGATTAGATGGTTTTTTTTTATGCTCCAGGATCAAAATCAAAAGCACACATTCTCAGATCTAGCTCACAGGTGGCACGCCAGATGTTACTACAAAATGCAAGGGCAGGTTTCATTAAATAATGAATGATGGCTTATTTTGTCATTGTGTGGGTTCAAAACGCAGGAATCCTCATGGAATGAATACGCACTCAGGGTTATTTAAAAAAAAACAAAACAAACCACAACATCAAAGGCTTTTCAGCTCAGTGGGAACTCTTGGACATCTTCAGGGAAACTGCACGGTCCACCTCGGGGGCCTCTTGAATTCCAGGCCATCCTTATTGTTCACTGGGTTTGTCCTTTGTTGTGGTCGCTGAGTTGTTTTTCTCCCCCCTAATTCCTAAGAGGATCATGAGAGACCAGAGCAGAATCAAATTTAGTTTACGAATGACGTATTGAGCTAATTCCTCGGAGGCCTTCGTGAAACCCACTGGGAATGCAGTGCAGTCGTCCCGGTTCATGGCTTCTTTAAATGATGGACACATGAGAATGTCTATTGTCTCTGTTAAAGGTGTGTTTTTGTCTGGGCTGAGACACGAGGTGACCACATCTGTGCTTTGTGCAATATCAGATGTTCTCCTCAACTCTCCTGTATGTGTTGTATAGGCCCACACCCTTCTCCATTCTCTGTATCAGTGTCTCATAATCATGTGCTCTGTCTTCCACTCACACTCACCTCTAAAAGCTCCACATCAGCACATATTAGATTCTTTGATATAGATGCTAATAAGAAAACCCACAGACTCTAAAAATATGTTTAATTCCTCCCTTTACCTCTTGGCATAGGAGATGGCACCATCCGTCTGGTGAATGGACAGAGCGCCTGCCAGGGCCGGGTGGAGATCTACTACCAGGGAAGCTGGGGGACAGTGTGCGATGATGACTGGATCCTCAACAACGCCCGGGTGGTGTGCCAACAGATCGGCTGCGGCACGGCAGTCTATGCACACACAAACTCCTACTTTGGCTACGGCACCGGCCTGATTCTCCTGGACAACGTCAACTGCTATGGCACTGAGCAGGACCTGGGTAAATGCAAAAGCCTGGGCTGGGGCAAACACAACTGTGGCCATCATGAGGACGCCGGAGTCACCTGCACTGGTACGCTGCTCTCAGTCCTAGAATATGATGAATGTAAACCAGTAATTATTATTAACAAATAACTAAACAAGAATAAGACTCAGCTCTATCAGGTCTCAGTGCTTTAAGCTAAATGCTAATACCGTTGTTGAGATATTTCTATAATTGTAAACCTCAGGGGATCACCAGAGACAGTAGGATTTGTCCTCTGGGGATTATGAATGTCTGTACAATATTTAATGTCCATCCATACAATAGCTGTTGACATAAATGACATGTCTGGAAGTGGTGGACCAACCAACAGAGCGACATCACTATCCTTCATTCCTTAGCGTGACCATATATAGAGAATAAGTCATATTAAGGTATAGAAAAGCTCAAGGAGGAGAGGACTAGTATAATATTGGTGTCTGTGCTGGTATCAATCAGTGGTAATATTAGTAGAAATAGTAATAATAGAAGTTGAACTGTACATATGAAAATTATTTCATTTCCATTTTTACCCACTTCAGGATCCACTACTGAAACTCCTGTGGCAACACAAAACCAGAGAGGACTCTGGGGAACATTTAACACTGAAGGTATCCAGTCACACTGTTACAGCAGAGCATGCAAACACACTCTGATTATTACTCCTTTGCATCAGCATGTCCAGTTTGTTTTGTTGGATTTTTTCCCACAGCAGAAAGGAAATGTGCACTTTTGCCAAATGACCAACAGGGGGAGCCATTTCTCCCCCGTTGTCTGCAAATGCGTTGCACCACAGTGCCGCAAAACATGGTGGTGAAAGTGTGCAACAGACTAACCCCACCACAGTCATTACATGCAGGTCCTCTGATGTACCGAGCCATCACATGTATTATATCTCTCTTCCAGCAACAGAAAATATTCCAGTCACCAAGTCACCAAGTCCAACAACTGTTACCACAACTGCCCAGACAAAAGGTAACAATAATAATCTGATTTCTGCTTTTAAGTAAATATTATACTTTTAAAGCCTTTTATTCAATTATCCGCTTTTTTTTGAAGAGACATTCATACCCTAAAATCTTTTTATTCCTGCAGGCAAACCAGCCATTCGTGTGATGAATGGTAACAGTAGCTGCCAGGGTCGCGTCGAGGTCCTCTACAAAAATGTTTGGGGGACAGTGTGTGATGATGACTGGGATATGCCCAATGCCAACGTGGTGTGTAGGCAGCTTGGCTGTGGCCCAGCTATTGCAGCCAAGACCCAGGCCTACTTCGGCTACGGTTCTGGTCCGATCCTGCTGGACAACGTAGAATGTGGCGGCTTTGAGCCAGAGCTGTCCCAGTGCTTCCACCTGGGCTGGGGTCAGCACAACTGTGGCCATCATGAGGATGCTGGAGTAATCTGTGCACGTAAGGCTTGACTGGATCTCTGTGAGGTCAAAGGGTCTATTAAGCTAGTTTTATGACAATCCTAAGAATCTCTGTATCTAAAATCGCACAAACACCCATCTTCAGTCATCAATAACCCTGAAAGCTCATACCTCATTTTCATCCAGTCATCTATGCCCGCCCTGCTGAGCTGTTCAGTTGCAATGCATGACTGTAGTACACTGAGGAGGAGACGTCCCAGAGAGCATAAAAATTACAGCGGATGAGTCAAGGCACATCAGCGTCACTGCATGCCCACAGGCCAAATTTCATTTCTTTGAGGCTAAATCAAAAGCGCACACAGACTCCCCGTTACTTAGATCCTGGGTTTCACGTTGATAGGAAAATATAATTATATTTCTTTTCTAAATGCATTTTACAAAGAGCTGTTTTTGAAATTGCTCAACAATATCTGTGCAAAGTGTGTCTCTGTATTATCACCTTGAAGGAACCAAGCATGAGGCTTCCTATATTGATCAGCAGAGTAATTATAAAAGAGCCTTGCTAATGCTTTTGTGACTTGATATTTCCTGAGTATTCCCAGGACGCAGAAGCATCACTGGGTTTGTTTCTGCTCTCGTCTGCTTCCCCCAGCTTTTGTATACTACAACGCAATCGGACGTGACTTTAGAGTAACAGAACGGATACCCGCCACCACCACCACACAGCCCTCTGAAGGTAGGTCAAATATATCTTCAACCAGCTCAAAATCAACACGCGTCCTCCGGACTGGGTTTCAGAAACAGATAAGACTCTGAATTTATGTGACTCTTCTTTGCTTTCTGAAGGAACGGTGAGACTGGTGGGTGGTCAGCACCAGTGTGAGGGTCGGGTGGAGATGTACTTAAATTCCGGATGGGGCACAATTTGCGATGACGCTTGGGACCTCCCTGATGCTCAGGTTGTGTGTCGCCAGCTGGGCTGTGGAGAGGCCACGGCGGCCCGGGGAGAGGCTTTCTTTGGGCCTGGATCAGGAACAATCCTGCTGGACAATCTGAAGTGCAGCGGTGAAGAGGCTTCCCTGCAGGAGTGCTCCCATATATCCTGGAACGTGCACAACTGTGACCACACCGAAGATGCTGGCGTCACCTGCTCACTGTCGTGATTTCAGCTGAACCACACTCCCATCTCCACCATGGGTAGGAGGTTGGCGTACCAACCTGGGACTTGTATACATAATGTAAATAACAACTTTCACATTGCTGAAGGAATACTTTACCACCAACAACATACAAAGTAACTAATATAACAATATATGATTACATATTATGACTATCTATGCCTATTAAGCACTTTATAAATAAATATATGATATAAAATACAATGTACACAGTTTTTTTTTATTTGATAAACAAAGACAAACAAAGCTTTTCACTGTCTGTCTCTCTTTCTTTTGCCCAAAAATGTTCAAATATTTACTGTACATGTATACTTTGATGATCAAGTAACATACTGGAGAAAATCCATCCATTTTTAATTATGTGGACAAAAGGAGACCTTTTTTCTACTTCAGATCCACAAGTCACAAATATGTATGATAAACCAAATAGTAATATAAATGGGAGAGAAATATATATACTACACACCACACGTATGCAAAAGAAACATCCACAAATAAACGTGTTATATCTTGTGAATATACACTATCCATCGACAAACAAATGATGATGTGTTTCTTCTGTTCTGTAAACCGTCATATAAATAAATGTAACTAATAATCATTTACATGTGACAAAATAAATCTTCTTATTTTTCGGTATATGATATATTTATGGTGTAAAAGCAGAGGTGTTTTAATCAGTGTCTGCATTTGTCATTGTCCTAAACATGTGCATCTCTTTAATGTTTTATTCTTTTTTAATAGCACGTGCAAATATGGTTAACGCTACTATTTGAATATGTTGAAAGGAAAACTGTCACTGCTGGAAAAACAAGATGTCTTCATCAGGAGTCGACTTGTTTAACAGCAGGATTTACATTTTCTGTTACTTTTCAAGGTAGCTTACTTCCCTTCATGACTAGTCATTTAGCAGTTGTGGCTAATACAAACAAGCTAATTGTTAAGTGATGTTAGCTTAGTCAGTCCATGTAACAAAGAAAAAGTACAATATAGCTAACTTCATTTAGTTGGTAGTTCTCAAATTAAACAAGTCAATGACAGTATAATAAAAAAGTATCATAAAACGAAGTGAACTGACTGCATCCAAATTGTTCAATAGCACACTGATACTGCGCAGCTAACAGTGGCCACTGTGGCCATGAGTGATAACTATTGGATAATGGTGAATACTAAAATGTTGTGTTGTAGCAAAATTGAAGAAAAAAGTCAACAGACTCACTCAGTATTGTAGGTTACACAGCAGTATTGAGCTAATCTTTGCTACCAGTAGCTGCTGTGATAAATGAACAACTAAGGCTTTTTAGCAGCAAAGCTAATCTTAGACAATATTGCATTAATAGCCAAAACTGGTATAAATTCCTTTTTAAACACCCACTACTTCTCTGTAGATACTGTAACTACTCTCTTGATTTTAGTTTTGACATTGTAAAGAATGAAATATTGAACTATTTTAGTAAACTGTTGAAAAAAATGAAAAAAAAGAAGAAGAAGTGGTTTCAGATGAAAATAATAATTTAGATCTGTAAAATCAGCAGGTATTAAGGATATTCTACAATTAGGCTGGAGACACAATATCTTGTATATGAGTTATGACAAGTCATCAATTAAGAGATATTTGATATGCTGAGATATTTGTTATTCACATAATCAAACATGTCCTGCAGATATGTGTAACTGGAGGTTTCATTCACTTTGATGGCAAAAGTAACTTTAGTCTTATTAATCATTTTGTAGAGATTGATTTAGGACCTTTGAAAGTATGAATGCGGTAAATAGAAAGATAAGCATCAATGACTTTCTATAGTCTAGCAGACTCAAGAGCAAAGTAAGAAGTGATTGATCAATTTCATAAACGGCCAGTGTCTACAGGAGCACAGAAACAGAACAGCCTGCATAAGAGGGTGTGTTTGGTGACTCATGATAAAATGACTCAGCATATCAGCATTATGAGCCTGTTTCATATCTATAATCACTCCAATCAACAGAAATACTAGGAAATGGCGTATCCATGGTTACAAAGGTGGTTTCACAAACAATGTATGACAAGAAATCCTATTCTAGTCAATAATTCAAGAAGTTATTTTATATAACTATATAAGGAAAAAATACAGGAGACACTGAAAATGTGTTTATTTTGCCATAAAATGTGGGAAATGACAAATTATATGTCTTAGATATTCATATAAAATAAATAAGAAGTTATTTATGTAACAAATTTTTTTTAAGAAGACACTAAAAGACACTGTGTTTTTTTGCCATAAAATGTAGGAAATGACAAATTCTTTGGCTTTTAAATGATAAAGGCTTGTTGTTGTTCTTCTCTTCTTCCATACAACAAGTCACACATAAGTTATGAACTGCTCTGTGGGCGCAGATGTCTTTTCTTTATCAGCTACACACGCTTTGTAGGTGACTGTAAATCTGACCTGACAACATCTGTTTTATTGACTATCATCATCACTATAAAAATCCTACATAAAAATATATATTCTTATTTACCTGTCACTAATATTGTGCATTGAACATATCGTGTCTTGTTGTAAAACAGCAGTGGTACAGTGTTTTTACAGCTGAAAAAAACTACAGGACTTGAATGCTTCACTGTTTTACAGAACTTCAAGCTCCACAATCTTAAAAGCAACACAAGATTTTATATTTTATATACAGTTTGTTGTGAAAGCAAGATACTGTAGGCTAAGAGCATAACCTTAGTCATACTCTGTACTGTGTAATATATCCTGGATGAACCTTGTGGGAGGCCTCTGGAACTGAGCCCTATTACCCCCCCTGGTCATCCCTCTCTCTTTGCATGGAGTCCTATGCCAGAACACTACATGACAAGGTTTGCTGTGTAATCATGTAAGTATAGCATCATCTGAAATAACTGAGGTCTGAAAGATTTTGATAGAGAGCACCTCTTCCAGACAAAGATCCAAGATCGATGTTCAGCCTTTCTGGTGGTTTATGAGGGTCAGGGCAGCTGGCATGTTCCTGGTTAGTTGGAAAGTGTGATTGAGCATTTCATAACCATAAACCACTACCTTACATATCACTGCTCTGTGAAAAAAAAGACCTCCTTTTCCTTGGATGTTTGGAGGGTAAACCCTACATTGCCTGACTGTAGGGAAATGGGCTGTACAGTCATTTTCTCTGGGCTGCCAGGGTCGTTACATCACTCCGTGAAGACACGCCTTTTTGGGTGGTGACACAACCGAGGGAAAGTGCTCGGAGGGGGAGGGGTGTCCCGTCGGCAGGCACACAGACAGCAGGCAGCAGCTGCAGCGAGAGGACCCGGTGCCGCTACTCTGCATTAAAACATTCACATTACGACTTTTTAGCTCCGAAACACACACAACAGCAACACACACACGACATCTAAAATGGTAGACCGCGAGCAACTGGTGCAGAAAGCCAGGCTGGCCGAGCAGGCAGAGAGGTATGATGATATGGCAGCTGCCATGAAATCGGTAAGTAGGCTTCCTCTATAGTGACCTTTCTCTTTTGTATCTTTAAAAAAAAAAAAAAAAAAAAGATATGTGTGTGTAATTGTGTAAATGTGTAACAGCTAGGTTAACTAGCAGTAGGGCAGTAAAACGCAGCCAAGGGACTGTGCCTCTGTGTTGAAGCACATTTTGACTTAAGCGGATAAGCCACAGAAAATTGGTGTATGAAAGTTCTGATTAAAGACTTTATTTATGATAAAGACACAATAATGAGCAGAATAAAGGGCTGGTATAGTGGGATTTGGGCAGCATCATTTTGAACAGGACTGCAAGGCCCGTAAAGCCTATGTTCACATTTCCCCAGGCTTTCCAGGGGATATTAGTTACATGGTTTGGTTATAATGAGGATCAGTTGAGGTGATTAATTCACAGTAAATCCAACGGGTTTATTGGCGGTGTGTTGCGGTGGATTGTGGTTGTCTGAAATGCGGACTGTTTGATCTTGGGGCGGTGCCTTTGGCCGGACTCCTTTATAAACGGCCGGGCTGCTCGGCTGCGAAAGAACCGCGGGGAATAGCGCAGGAAAATAACGCAAAGACGTGATTTAATCGTCTGTCTAGAGGTAAATGTGAGCTTAACAATGAAAGAGCACCAAAGGGGGATCACGTCGAAAAGATGCGCATAGTGGCGGAGCAGAGGACGAGCTAGGTGGTACCATGATGATGAGAGTGACATCGTAGGCTGCGCTGATGGCCGTGTTCCGGTTTGCATGATGCTGAGCACCAAAGAATGAGCCACGGATTCAGAGTGTAACGCCGCTTTTCTGTAGCCTGGTGTGGAGGAGCAGCTCAGCTCCGTCCTCTCTCACCGCCACACTTGTAACTGGCGCATTGGAAAGAGCAATGTTGGCTGAAGGTTGATCGCAATCGATTTGCGCAGAAGCGGCGCACAAACTACGGAGCGTTCACCTTTCCAGACGTGGGTGTTGGTGGACGGACAGCTTTCCAGAAAGCTCTGTAGATGTCATATTGCAGCAAAAGCTCTTCTTCTTTTTTTTCCCCCCCTTGTCTGCGAACTGTAGCATGACGGGCTGCCTGTATTAATCGATGCTGTGTGGCAACCGCATCCCTGCGTCCTCGACCTCTTCCAGCAGGTTCCCACACAGAGGCGTGCCGCAGCATCTGCCAAGATGCAGCACAGGCCCACCCGTAGTGCACCATTTCATAGGCAGCCTTTTATCACAGCTTCACAAAGGCTGCATCTCACTCCATCATCACTACCTGGACAATAGCATCATAGAGGAATGGACAGACTGGCAGAGGAAGTCTAGGAATGGTGTGATGTGTGACAAGGCCCTTTATTTCAGAGATGAGCCTTAATATCCTTGTGGAGGCTCATATTGTGTCTGTGGTCACTAATAGGGACTTTAAGTGACAATATAAGAATTTCTTGTTGCCTTTTTTATTTCATAATCAAAGTTGTAGTATTTTTTGTCATATTTGTATAATTTTCATCTAAAAATGATCATAGATTTACTCACCT